CCTCTTTTCCTGTCACTCCTCCTTGATAGACCTAGGGAGAAAAAGCATGAATAGTGAGAGGGAAAGTTTGAATATAGCCGAAAGCAACTCACTCATTATGATGTTTGTTTTTACAGATGTTAATGTAAGATATCCAGGATACATTAAAGGCGTACTTTCTTCTGCTCTCTTATGTTGGAATTACAATGGTTTTGAACATCTAGGGTTGTTTTTCCTCTACAAAGCTTTGGGTCAAGTATGACACTAAAATTTACTTAGGAATACCGTTCATTTTTTCAAGTATCCTTCACTTGACTGTACAGCATATACTTCAGTACTATTTTGATGAATTGCTACCCCACAGCTTTGTATAACCTGCCTGTGTCCACACAGCATGTGTGCTATGATCTGAGAAATCTGATAACCTTGATTAGTATCGTCACCAAGACTTGAGTGTGTCTTCCAGAAAGTAAAGTGATTGAGCTTTGATGAATGGATTTCACAAGTGTAATGGTTCTGGGACTAGACTAAGAGATCCTAAGAGGCTGAGAAGTCTGGCTTGACTTCTGTGCAGTGTTTCTGCAGTGTAGGTTTAATAGCTACAGATTATCTATTTGAAACAACTTATTGAAGATATCATACCTTATCATATTTTACCTTTTTTTTAAAATCTATTTTTTAAAAAGTACTGGCATTTTGATTTCGCTTATTTCTAGAACTTTCTGTATGTTTTCTTTCTGTTCCACATCCTCAGCATTGCATGATGCCCTTGGTAATTCTTTTTGCTTTTTTAATTTTAATTTTAGATTATTCTTCTAAAGGTGATATACAGAGGAGTTATCGTTGCATAAGTCAGGTAATGAGTAATTTGTTTTTGGACAATATCACCTCTTCCCTCCCTCCCTCCCAGATTTTCCATCCTTGGTAGTTCCAATGAAACATTTCAATTCCTGAATCATGTTTATGAAAAAAAATTTAAACAAGCAACGTTGCATTGCAAAGTAATATTCACAAGAAAACTTCTTAATTTTGAATCAATTTTAAAAATTGGATTTAGTTTGGTGTGATGGTGTATGCTTGCAATCTAGTCCCCAGGAGACAAAGGCAGGAGGATTGAGACTGTGTTCAACCTGGTGTGTTGTGCCCTTAGTCCTTGAGGTCTCTAGGGTCCTGTGCTCCTGCAGGTTTCTCTGCTCAGCTCTGCTGGGCGAGGTTAGAGGAGCAGCTGCAGGGAGCTGTGGCTCTTTCCCTCATATCTGCTGGTGCCTCTCTTGGTGAAGACGGAGTCTAAGCACAGTTCTTACACAACTCAGTAATAGGGACTCCCTACTGGATCCTCCTAAGCCTTTCTTTCTGGTTAATAGATCTAGATGAAATGTGTTGTTCTTTTTCTCTCCTCAATGATCATGTTACTTACTTGTTGTTTTTTTTTTGTTGTTGTTGTTGGTCGTGGGGCCTGAACTCTGGGCCTGGGCGCTGTCCCTCAGCTCTTGAGCTCAAGGAGAGCGCTCTACCACTTGAGCCACAGCACCACTTCTGGCTTTTTCTGCTTATGTGGTGCTGAGAAATCGAACCCAGAGCCTCATGCATGCAAGGCAAGCGCTCTACCACTGAGCCACCTTCCTAGCCCCGTGTTACTTAGTTTTATTACTCTTCCAACTCTTGTATTTTTCATATATTAGTATTCAAACACATTGAGGGGCACCAACTCTTTATTTAGAATTAAATTAAGGAGTTGGTATAAAGTGATATGTACTTACATGATACATTTGATATGCTAATTGCTATATTGCTATATTTGGCATCCAAATGGGAAGTTTGGAAGTGGTCATCTCAGGATCTCTCTTAGCAACCCTGAAGAAAATGTAATCAATCTTGAAAATTTTCTCCCTCTTTTTCTTGGACAAGGGTAGTAGAGATAATCACGGGAGCCAGCATGTGTCCTTCATCTTCTCCAAGCCTGTCCAAATAAGCTAGAGTCTGAGACAGCACTGGAAGCCCATCCTCAAGTTTTCTGGACTGTTTTCCAAACCAGATCCTATGCTCAGCCCAATTACATACTTCAGGAGCCAGCACTGAATGGAGAGATGGAAGGTACTTCAGCTGAAAACAGTGCTTTAACAACCTACCTGTCAATATAAGAAGTGTGGGAATGCTTATGTGGCTACCCAGGTGCTTGATTGTGTAAGTGGTAATCTTTACACAACTCACAACTATTCACTCCCCCGCCTTCGCCCCAGTGTGCTGGTGACCTTCATCTGCAGAAGATGATTGACAGCTGATTGGCCTTATGAGGTTGTTGGGAGATAAGGTATGGATGAACTTGGCCAATGACTTATACCTATGTGCACGTATGATGTGTCTCTGTATGTACTCTGTGTTATTACCTCCAGTGTGCAGTATTTGGGAGCAGTAAATATACATAGATGTATATAAATATGTACAATGTGCATAAATATATAGGGTATTGCTCAGTTTGTAGACACTTCATCCTTCTCTCGCTCATATCTCAACTAAGTGGCTGCAGGATGGTAGGTTTCCAAGGGTGAACAGCTCACTTGGGGTGTGGGGTGAGAATGGAGACACCCAGGGAATGCTGGTAGGAAACCTGGCTTTGAGGATGCTTTCTGCAGGTAGACAGGTGCTCAGCAGAAACCCACCTGCTTCAAGGCCCGCCTGTTTCCTCCAGGTCTATTTACCACCTCCCAACCCCCATACAAGTCTGCTGTTCTGGAACCTGAGCTGGAGGCTTTGAGTATACTGATAGACAGGAAGTAGAAGCAAGGCACTGGGAGTTTAAGGGCTGATTTTTATTGTTTAAATTTAATGTGTGTGTGTGTGTGTGTGTGTGTGTGTGTGTGTGTGTGTGTGTGTGTGTGTGCATGTACCAGCACAGAGGTTTGAACTCAGGGCTTCATGTTTTCGCTTAGCTTTTTCTCTCTAGGCTGGTGCTCCACCACGTGGGCTACATCTCCATTTCTGGCTGGTTAATCGGAGCTAATACGAGTCTCTTGAATTCGTTTGGGTTCTTCTATCCGTGATCTTCTGATCTCAACCTTCCGAGTAGCTAGGGCGATAGGCCAGAGTCGCAGGGTGATAGGCCAGAGTCGCCTGGTCAAGGGCTGGTTTTTGGGCCCAGGGCTCAGCATGGGGCTGCTTACAAGCTGTCTATCTGCAACTGCGGGCCAGGATGGACCCCTGGCAGGCTAACGTCATCTCCACCTTACTTCAGGTGTTACCGTACTCCACGGAGCAGCGCTGGGCAGTAACCAGTGACAGGTGGTGCATCTGAAGGTGGCACGCTGGTAGGTATGTGCAGGGGGTGATGGGGAGGGTCCCTGCTCGGTTCTCCTCTTGCACCCCGTCCTGTCCTCGCTGCCTCCTTCCTCTCCCGTTTGTTCTCCCAGGGCCCTCGGTGTCCACCAGGGGTCTCTGCAGACGTCCCTTACCTCTCCCGTGGGCTCTCAGAGCCAGGGAGGTTTCTGACCTTAGCAGTGCTCAGGAGAGCTCTGGACCGAAGGCGACCTCACCGCAGCCGGAGGCCGCGCACCCCCCCCCCCACCCCCATGTGTGGTTTACAAAGTTTGTGGGCGCTGCGCGGCCCTGGTGGCGAGGGCTAAGGAAACCGAGAAGGTAGGTGCGGGGCGCCGGGGGAGGGGGGTCGGCAACTGTCTGGAGAGATCGCGGGCCACCTAGGTGGAGGGACGCGGGGTCCCCCTCTTTCCGGGGGCTGGGGGGGGAGGCCCCGGGATGCGCGGTGTCCGAACCCCTTCCTTTCCACCCCTTCTCGGAGATCGGCCGTGAGTGCGCCCCGCTCGGGGGACCCGGCAAAGCGCGCGGGAGGGGGGGTGTCTCGTGGCGGGGACCCCGCGGGGTGCCCCCCACTCGGATGGCGGGGCGCAGGGGACGCAGGGCACAGCGTGAGGCCGGCGGGTGGGCGCAGCCGGGCGCGACCCCAGCCCGGGGCTGCTCGGCCCCCGCGGCGGCGGCGGCGGCGGGCGCTGGGCTTTGGCGGCGGTTCAGCCCGCGCACCCGCTCGCCCGGCGGAGCCAACGCCGCTCCCCGCCCCCCCCCCCCCCCCCCCGGGTCCCTGGAGGCTCCGCGGCTGCCGGAGCGGGAGGTGGAGCCGAGCCCGGCCGCGCAGAAGGGAAAGTTCCGCGGCGGCGGAGCGGCGGAGCCCCGGCCCGGCAGCGCGGAGGGCGCGCGGGGTGAGTGTGCTGCCCGCCCCCGGGGCGGCGCGCGGGGGCGTCCCTGCCGCCCTGCCCTCCGCGCTCCGCGCGCGCGTGGGTGCCCGGCGCGCCCCGGCCCCGCTGGGGAGGGAGGCTCGTGCGCGCGGGGAGCGGGCTGGGGGGGGGGCGCGGACCACGCTGCCGCGGCGCCCGGCGTCTGCTCCCCGCGGTCGGTCGCTGTCCACCCGGGCTTCCCCCCCCGTCCCCCACCCCGCGGGGCCTCGACCCTGGGAAGGGGTTCCGCGTCACCCCGCGGCTGGGAGCCGCTCAGGTGGACGCCGCAGCCCGCGGCGGAGGCTGCAGAGCCGGGGTCCGGGGTCCGGGGTGGGGCGGGGGCTTCGCCAGCTTGGGTCGCGGGGGGACGGGGCTGTTTCCATGACTTTCTCAGAATTAAAAACAAGAAAAAACAAGTAGCCTTGGCCCGCGCCCCGCCGCGACTCCGCTGCCATTGTGTGATTCTCCGCCGTGGGCCGGCCGGGCTGGAGGGGAGGGTGGGCAGCCGCTCCCGGCCTGGCCCCCGGCCCCGGTCCTGTCCGCGGGGCCACCCCAGAAACGCCCCGTGCCCTGGGCCGGCGGAGCGGAGCGGGTGGAGCGCCAAGGCGTGGTCTTGGGGTGCGGTGGGCTGGGCTGGGGGGGGGGGGTTGGAGGGCGGGGTTGGAGGGAGGGAGGAAAGCTGGACCCGGCCCAGGCGGAGTTGGGATCCCGCCCCATCCCCTGCACCTGCACCCCGCCAGTGACTTTGAACTTACCTTCTCATGGTGGGCAAAGAAGGGGGGAGGGAGAAAAGACAAGAACAATCCTGCACTCCACACCCCGCGGCCCCGGCGAAGACCCACCCACGGGGGACGCGTGGTTCACGGCTGGCACGCTCTGCTTGTGGTTCTGCGGGTGACAGTCTGGAACTTCAGTGTCCTCAGGTTTGACGAGAATTAACTGCAGCTGCTCTTCTTCTTCTTCTTCTTCTTCTTCTTCTTCTTCTTCTTCTTCTTCTTCTTCTTCTTCTTCTTCTTCTTCTTCTTCTTCTTCTTCTTCTTCTTCTTCTTCTTCTTCTTCTTCTTCTTCTTCTTCTTCTTCTTCTTCTTCTTCTTCTTCTTCTTCCTCTTCTTCCTCTTCTTCTTCCTCTTCTTCCTCTTCTTCTTCTGATTCTCCTCCTCCTCCTCCTTCTCCTCCTCCTTCTTCCCACTCCTCCTCCTCCTCCTTCCTCTTCTTCCTCTCCTTCCTCTCCTCCTCCTCCTCCTCCTCCTTCCTCCTCCTCCTCCTCCTCCTTTTCCTTCTTCCCACTCCTCCTCCTCCTTCCTCTTCTTCCTCTTCTTCCTCTTCTTCCTCTCCTTCCTCTCCTCCTCCTCCTCTTCCTTCCTCCTCCTCCTCCTCCTCTTCCTCTTCTTCTTCCCCTCCTCCTCCTCCTGTATCTGCTTGAAATTGCCATTTTTTAAAAAAATTCTGCAGGGATTTTGCTCAGGTGATCCACCACGCTAGAGTCCCCACGGTGAGCGTTGATTCAAACAAGCTCTGGGTGGAGGTGTCAGGTTGGCAATTAGGAAAAACACACCTTGGGTAGAGAAGCAGAGGGCAGAGTTGTGCGGGTCGCCCAGAGGGTAGAAGGCGGTGGGGGTCTCGTTCACTGGGAGCCCCAGACAAGGCTGGTGCTGGGAGCACCAGGGATGAGCCCCCCCACCCGGGACACAGCACACAATCTGGACCGACGCCTGGGCGTCGTTTAAAACCTGCACGCGTGGGCGATGGAGGGAAATCTAAACGTTGAGATTCCTCCGTGGACACCAGGAGTGGAATGCACCTGGTGTCTGGCTGTGGCAGGTCCCTGAGCTCCCAGCAAATTTCTCCCATTCCCGAATTGCGTGGACCTGGAACCACCTCACTTAACCCTAGACGTAAGATGCCAACTGTACAGGCCAGAAGGGAACCCTGGTGCGGGCACAGCACATGCTTGTGATTCTCTTGCCTTTTGCCCTTCTTTAGCTTTCAGGGATCCCGAATCTAGCATGTATCAACACTGAATAGAATTACAACTTTTTTCTTGTGTATGTGATCTTACTTTTCATCCATCCACCCATCTCTTTATTGAAGAACCACGGATGTCTTCTCTGGTCATCTGAAAATGATGCTTTGGGGTGGTGGTATGCAGTATTGCTGGGCTTTTCTGTTGGTAAAATTCTGTCCTCTAGTCCTCTGGTGATGAACTGGACTGTCCAGTCTTCATGGTGCTCTCATTCCATTAGCAATGAGAAAAGAAATCACAGCGTGCTGTACTGGGTTTCTTCTATCTCCTGCTTTCCCAGGCCTCCTGGTCCAACTTGGTGCCAGGCGGCTTCCTGAGGACTTAATAAATGTTTGTTGATTGGAAATTCACCATGCAATGAAGTTATTTTTCAGGTCCCATCGTTTTTTTAATTTCGGCAAAAGGGCCTTGGGATTGTAAATGATAGCCCTCCAATACATCAGGGCTCACAGGTATTAAAGAGGATAAGCTGAGGTAGACTTTATTACCTATTGATTTTGCCCTCATGATGTGAAGCCGCCTTGATCTGTAAAGCCAAGGTGTAGCGGTAGGCTCACCACTAGGGGCCTCCTCTGCATAGTGGATCACTCCAGGCTGTCATTTGTTACCACCACCCTGTCCTTTGAGGTAGCAGAGACATTTAAGTTCCTGCTTCTTCTTGACATACAATACTGTGCTACAAAAGGATATCCTTGAAAAACATTATCAAGGCCCTAAAATCAATGAAAGTGGCCTTGGATGGATTCAGTATGGCTTTTAAATATCGTTAAAGGTTTTAAGAACTGTTGTATATGTTAATGGTTAAATATATTCTTTTAAACAACTTAAAAAATCAAATCTATGATTTTTGGTTTAGTATTTTAACTGTTTTTATTTTTGTGTGTGTCTCTTCGATAGAGATTATTATTATTATTTCTATTATTTTAATATGTTTAAAATCACTTTATCTCAGCCAGGTGCTTATAGTACTAGCTACTGAGGAGTCTGAGATCTGAGGATGGCAGCTTGAAGTCAGGTTGGGCAGGAAAGTCCATGAGACTCTAATCACTAATTAATCACCAAAAGAGCTGGGAGTGGGCCTGTGGTTCAAGTGGTAGAGCAGCAACCTTGAGTGAAAAAGTTAAGAAGTGCTTTCTCTTTTTTCCTTTTCTCCTTTCCTTTCCTGTGCTATCCTATCCTTTCTCTCTTGTCCTTCTTTTCTTCCTTTTTTCCTTCCTTCCTTTCTTTTTTGTGCTGGTACTGGGTCTTGAACTCAGGGCCTAGATGCTGTCCCTGAACTTTTTTGCTCAAGGTTAACACCCAACCACTTGAGCCATAGCTCCACTTCTTGCTCTTTTGATGCTTAATTGGAAATAAGAATCTCACAGTTTTCTACTTGGGCTAGCTTTGAACGTCCATCCTTAGATCTCAGCCTTCTGAATAGGATTACAAGCTTGAGCCACCAGTGCTGGGTACACTGGTTTTTCTTTTCTTTTCAAATCAAGGTCTAGATCAGTTCTTATTAGGAAACAAAGTTAAGAGGAATGACATTTTCATGAAGGCTGTAGGCAACTTTTTAAAAATATCACTCTGATTAGTATACATGTTTATGATTGCTTTTAGGATTCTGTGTATATCAAAGGGTTATGTGGAACCTGTTTACATAATGGAATGGTCTTCTAGAACTGGAAGATGTTTGTGTTCACCCCCAAAACTCCAGTGAAGAAAGGGCTGGGAACCTTCCTGCCTCTCTGTCCACTCCCCAGACTGTAGCTGAGCTGAAGCCAGAACACGGGTCCTATTCTTTGTGGAGAACTCCAAGAGTTAGTATAGTCCACAGCTCTAAGCCTGATGAAGATTATGGATGCGTAAGGTGGCAGAAAATGAATGGCTTTTTATACCTGGGAGATATTTTTAGGAGCTTGCATTTGAGAGATGCCACCTGTCTGGAAATGACAGCTGTGTGCTAGAATTTTCAGTGTGATATTGAGGACCTAACACTTAGCACAACACCACTTTGCTGCCCAGATAATTTTTGTTGTTGTTTTTAGACTATGCAGAACATAACATTTGCTTATCCCGGGGTCACATCTGCTACTTTGTTTTATTTGCACACACAAAGGGCAGTTGAATTGTTGCAGGAAAAGGGAAGCAGGAAACTGGGAGGAGGTAGTTGTGAATTTTCTATTTATACTGAGCTTTAGGGCCAGCCTTACTTTTGCCTTCCAAAAGCACATGCTACCAGCTTACAGTTTCCTATAAGTAATTGTTCTCCAGTGCTTTTTAAAAAAATGTGTGTGTGCTTACCAGAGGCTTGAACTCAGGCCCTGGGTGCTGTCCCTGAGCCTTTTCACTTGTGCTCTACCACTTGAGCCCCAGCTTTTCTTCTGGATTCTTGCTGGTTCATTTGGAGATGAGAGTTCCATGGACTTTCCTACCTTGGCTGGCTTTGAACTGCTATCCTAAGACCTCAGCCTCCTGAATAGCCGAGGATTACAGGTGTAAGCTACCGGTTCCCAGCTTCTTCAGTGATCTTATAAGTCCCTTTCTGAAATAGATCCTTAGTGCCTTGAAAAGTACTACTTCTGTCTCTATTAGCTACTGTGAATGTTAATGTATTGGTTGATGCATGTAATCAGGCTGCTGCTGTTTCATGAGTTGGCTTTGTGCAGACTAGCTCTAGGTGCTAACTTGCACAGAGTTAACTTGCTAACTTGCTAGTTCCTCTGTGCTGGACCATCTGGTGCCCAGCCAGGGGGTTAGGTTTACTAAATATGCAACAAGCCAGACTTCAACACAGCTCACCTCCCTGTTCAGCTCTATTGTATATGGAATATTCTTCACAGACATTCATGATGTTATCTGTAGGGGTGACAAGAAAATTGTTGGCAAACAGTACATGTATAAATAAACATATATAGTATATATATATGTATCTGCTAATGGCTATTAGTGTTATTGACTTAGTTGCTTTTACTCAGTGAATTTAGTGCCCGTGATAATATTTGGAAAAGTTCCTTGTTAAATGGTGTCTGCAATTCTTCTCTTCCCATGATTAAAAAAATAGCTATATTTATGGAGCACTTAATTGTGAAGCAAGCGCTGTACTGAGTGTAAGACTCAAGCTATTTACTTAATTGGCACAGCTGCCTTAGAAAGTATGCATTGTTATTATCTGCATTTTGCAGATGGGAAAAATCAAGGTTTAGGAGATAAGGTGCTTGCCAAGGGTCAAGTAGTTGGAGGAGCTAAGACTCAGTCCACATCTGTCTAACTTCAGCTCAAAACCTTTGTGTTTTTTTTTTTTTTTTTCTGTAGTACTGGAGCTTGAACTCAGTGCCTGAGCACTTTCCCTTACCTTTTTTTATTCAAGACTGGGTGCTCTACCATGTGAGCCACAGTTCTACTTCTGGCTTCTTTTGGGTAATTAATTGGAGATAAGAGCCTCATGGACTTTACTGCCCAGGATGGCTTTGAACCACAATCCTCAGATCTACACCTCCTAAATGGCTAGGATTACAGGCATGAGCCACTGATGCCCAGCTTTTTTTTTTTTTTTAAAACTCTAGCATAAACTTGTTGAAGTGGCAGCTGGGAAAATGAAAGCATTCTTAGGGTTAACAAAGCAGCGAAACATCGGTTTTCATTAGTTGTTGGACTTACTTCTGAACATGATATAGCAAGATAACAAATGCATTTTTATCAGCCAGTGAGTCTGCTTCAGCATGTTTTATTTACAGGTCTTGTAGATGCTGTTTTAATTTTTCCCTCTGCAGTTTAAAAGATGATAGAGAACACCCCTGTAAAACATTTATATTCTTATAGGATGCTTTGCAGGCACGTTCAAAGAAGAATCTCTGGATAAAATAGAGCGTTTAGATGTTGCTGTTGGGGCAGTCCATCCATGTATCACAAACATTG